CCCTTAATCTTCAACTCACCCTGTGTCCTCTGCCTATCTATCTATCTATGTGTCTATCTATCTATCTATCTATCTACATACATATAATTTTTCCCCCTCCAACTACCCTAATACTGACAAAGGTCTCATGAGTTATAAATATCTTTCCATGCAGGAATGTAAACAGTTCAACCTTAATATGTCTCTTATGATTTCTCTTTCCTGTTTACCTCTTCATGTTCCACTTGAGTCTTGTGTTTGAAAGTCAGATTTTCTATTCAGCTCTGGTCTTTTCATCAGGAATGCTTGAAAGTCCTCTATTTCACTGAATAACCATTTTTCCCCCTGAAGGATTATACTCAGTTTTGCTGGGTAGGTGATTCTTGGTTGTAATCCTGTCTCCTTTGCCCTCTGGAATATTCCATGCCCTGTGGTCCTTTAATGTAGAAGCTGATAAATCTTGTGTTATCCTGATTGTGTTTCCACAATACTTGAATTGTTTCTTTCTGGCTGCTTGTAATATTTTCACCTTGACCTGGGAACTTTGGAATTTGGCTACAATATTCCTAGGAGTTTTCCTTTGGGGATCTCTTTCAGGAGGAGATCTGTGGATTCTTTCAATTTCTGTTTTGTCCTGTGTTTCTAAAATATCAGGGCAGTTTTCCTTGATAATTTCTTGAAAGATGATGTCTAGGCTCTTTTTTTGATCATGGCTTTCAGATAGTCCAAGAATTTTTAAATTCTCTCTCCTGGATCTGTTTTCCAGGTCAGTTGTTTTTCCAGTGAGATATTTCACATTGTTTCTAATTTTTCATTCTTTTGGGTTTGTTTTACAGTGTCTTGATTTCTCATAAAGTCACTAGCTTCCAATTGCTCTATTGTAATTTTTAAGGCAGTATTTTCTTCAGTAATCTTTTGGACTTCCTTTTCCATCTGGCCAATTTTTCTTTTTAGGGCATTCTTCTCCTCATTGGCTTTTTGGACCTCTTTTGCCATTTGGGTTAGGCTATTTTTTAAGGTGTTATTTTCTTCAGTATTTTTTTGGATCTCCTTTAGCAAGTTGTTGACTTATTTTTCATGATTTTCTTGCATCACCCTCATTTCTTTTCCCAGTGTTTCCTCTACTTCTCTTGCTTGCTTCTCAAAATCCCTTTTGAGCTCTTCTAAGGCCTGGGACTGATTCATATTTTTCTTGGAGGCTTTGGATGTAGGAGCTTTGACTTTGTTGTCTTTTTCTAGTTGTATATTTTGATCTTCTTTGTCACCAAAGTAAGATAATATAGTCTGACTCTTTTTGCGCTGCTTGCTCATGATCCCGGCCAATTACTTGAGTTTTAAACTCTTTGTTGAGGTAAGAGTCTGCTTCCAATGTGGAGAATTTACTGTCCCAAGCTTCAGGGGTTTATGCAGCTGTTTTCAGAGATACTTGTAGGGACCTGTAAATTTTCAGTTCTACCGAGGTGGTATGATAAGGTGCAAGGTGTTTACTCCTTTCCTGGCCTGTGCTCTGGCCTATTAGTGACCACAAGCACTCCTTTCTGTCCTGGAACTGTAAAGAAGGTTTCTTCTCCACTGCCACTACAAGCTCCACAGTGCCAGCATTCCTCCTCACTCCAGGACCACCGCCCAGAACTGTGACCCAGATCCAAGCACAGGCAAAGCAAGAGATTCCTGCCTCAGTACTGGCAAATAGATCCCTGCAATCCCTCTCTGATCAGCCACTTGATTCTCCCTCAGTCTGTGGGCTGGAAGCTCAGGACGCAGCCACCTCCCCAGTGCCCACCCTCTGCACTCTGGAGGTGGCTCTGACCTAGCTCGTCTCTCAGCACCGCAGAAACAGGCTTTTACCACTGACCTTTAAGTTGTCTTTGGTGTTTGTGGGTTGAGAGGTCTGGAAGCCTCCACAGCTGCCCGAGATTCAGTCCTCTGAGGCCTGTTCCAAGTTTGCTGCAGCCTGCGTGCCCACGCCACACTGCGCTCCTCTACCAGCACATCGCGATATACCTTTCTGATCAACCATACAGGTTGTCTTGGCCTAGAAATTTGCTTCACTCTGTCTTTTTGTGGGTTCTGTGCTTTAGAATTTGTTTGGAGCCATTTTTTATAGGTATTTGGAGGGGTTTGGGGGAGAGCTCAAGCAAGTCACTGCTTTTACTCTGCCATCTTGGCTCCGCCGCCCCCCTCCCCCACCATTTTGTATTTGTGAAGCTTATTTTAAGAATCCATATGTAAGACTCAGTATTTATCAGTATTAAATTTCATCTTACTATTGTTAGTCCAATGTTTTAACCTATCAAGATCATTTAGGGCCTGATTCTGTATCAGCCATTGTGTTACCAATCCCTCCCAGCTCTTTGCCATCTGAAGGTATGATGAACATGACATTTATGTATTTATCCAAGTCATGGATAAAAATGTTCACCCACACAGGGCCAAGTACAGGTCCCTGGATCACTCTACTGGGTGCTTCCTTCTAAATTGACATTAAACCATTAACAGTTAACTACCAGTCATTCGATGAGATCCCGGTCCTTCCAACTGTACTATTATCTAGTTTTCATCTTTCCATTTTTTCTACAAGGTGAAGGAGCTAGTGATCAGAGACATGGAGGTAAGGTTCTGCAATGCTTTACCATACCACCTTGCTGAAATCTAGGTTCACTTTCTCTTAAGCAATCTGCTGATCTACAAGTTTAGTAACCTAATTTAAAAAAAAAAAAGAAGAAAGAAAAAAAGGAAATGAGGTTATTTTGTTCTTGCTGAAGCTGTGTCATTACTTCTTGGTTCTTAACCACCTTTTAATAATGTACTAGAAATCAACTCTCTGGCCTTTAGTATCTTTTTTTTTTTAATTCTGACAATATTTGCCCTTCCCCGGTCCTGTGAGATCTGTCCCTTTCTCCAGGATTTTTCAGATGTTACTGACAATGGCTCCACAGTCACATTTTAAATTATTTGGGCAGATAACCTGAATATATCAAGAGGAGCCAGGTACTTACATTACCCTTTCTCATCTTGGAAATTGACTCCTTCTCTCCTAACTATTTTGTTCTACCCTTTCCAGGCAAAGATCCTTCTCTTTGGCTGAGAAAACCAGCAAAATAAGGGTTGAGTAGCTCAGTCCTCTCTCGACTCCAGTTACCATGGAGCAGCAGTCCTTTCTATTCTTGGATTATCTTTTCTTACTCTTTGCTGTCCTTAGTTTTCCTCAACAAATTTAGCCCATTCTCAGCTTAAATCCTAATTCCTAATAGTATTCTTACATTAACTTCCCTTGCATCCATTTTTACACATCTTTTTTAAAATCTTAAGTTAGCTGATGATCTGTCTCAGCTGATCAGTCTCTCCTGACAACTGTCATTTTTCTCATCAGAATTGTTTCTCTCTGCCCCCTGCAAAAACCTTTCCTGATTCCTCTAGTTGTTTGTATTATGTCCCCTATAAAATTATCATGTGCATTCCTGTTTACACATTTCCCCTTGGTTGAATGTTCTTGAGGGCAGACTTTTCTCCATTTCTTTGTATCCCCAGTGCCTAGCATAATGCAATAGTAGATATTTAATATCTTTTCATTGAATATGGAATATTGGCAACAAAACATATTAAAAGAAAAGGAGGCAAAGCTGATCATGTGTTGATTAAAGGATAGCAAATAGATATCGTAAATGCCACTAGTACAAAACCCTAGAAGAAGGCCTCTAGCACATCAACTGGATCCTCTGTGGAAGATCTATGGAAGAAAGTAGACAAGAATCACAAAGAGTAAGGAGCACATGAATAGATTACATTTTGTACCTGTGAAGGAAGGGCAAACTCACAGCAGTGAGATTGTGATTCTTTAGAGGAAGCAGCATTAGTAAAAAAGGGTTCTGGACTTAGAGTCAGAGGAGACCTGATTTTGAGTTTCGCTAGCTATTTAAACATGTGCAAATAATTTTATTTCATTGAGCCTCAGCTTTTGTTGTTCAGTTGCTCAGTAGTGTCTGACTCCTCATGTCCTCATAGACCATAGCACAGCAGGCCCTTCTATCTTCCACTGTCTCCCAGAGTTCATGCTCATTGTCTCCATGACACTATCCATCTCATCCTTTGCTGCTCCCTTTTTCTTTTGCCTTCAATTTTTCCCAACATCAGGGTCTTTATGTGGCCAGAGTATTTAAGCTTCAGCTTTCATATTTGTCCTTCCAATAAATAGTCTGAATTAATTTCTTTAAGTATTGACTGACTTTATGTCCTTGTTGTCCAAAGGACTCTCAAAAGTCTTCTCCAACACCACAATTTGAAAGCATCAGTTGTATGGTGCTCAGTTTCCCTTATAGTTCAACTCTCATGGCCATATATTGCTACTGGAAGAACAATAGCTTTGACTATATGAATCTTTGTCAGCAAGGTATCTCTGCTTTTTAGTATGCTATCCAGATTTCCCTTCCAAGAGGCAAGCATCTTTTAATTTCATGGCTGCAGTTGCCATCCACAATGATCTTTGAGCCTAAGAAGATAAAATCCGACGCTGCTTCCATTTCTCTATTTGCCAGGAAGTGATGGGACCAGATGCCAAGATCTTCCTGTTTTTTATGTTAAGTTTCAAGCTAGCTTTTAGATTCTCCTCTTTCACCCTCAACTTCCTCACCGTAAAACAGAGACAAAACTTTTAGTACTTTACAGGGTTGTTAGGAGGATCAGATGAGGTAATATGGGTAAAACATTGTGTAAACTTTAGAGCATATTATTATTATAATTATTCCTTGATTTTTTCCCTTCAAAAAAGGCTATATTCCCTGTTCTCTAGATCCATATGGAAGGAACCTTCCTTCTGCAGAGAGCATGCCAGAACCAACATAATCTGAGACTCCATTTTAATAGTTTCATGTGTGTCTATACACATACTTATTCATATAGAACATTTTGTTAAAATTTATAAGAAATTTTACATTGGTGTACTATCTGCCTATTTATACTAAAGTTCCATGGTTTGTTGTACTAATCTTAAAATAAATGTTACATGTGAATTTATCCCCCAGGAGCTGTTGTGACCATTACTGCACCAGTTAATATGAATGTGGACAGCCTCCAATCTCTGTCATCTGATGGCGCTACATTAGCAGTGCAGCAAGTCATGATGGGAGGACAGAGTGAGGATGAATCTGTGGATAGCACTGAAGATGATGGAGGAGAACTCACAGCAACAAATATTAGTGGCCTGGTATTGGATAACAGTGATTCTCTGCAGTAGGAAGCAAGAGAATGTGACCATAGTTAGGAAAAAAAATGGACTTCACTGATTTTTTATAGTTTGCACAGCAAACATTTTACACAAGTTTTATTTCTAATGTTTTATATGTAGATATAGAAGGGTGCACTTTTTGTATTTCATAGTAAGCTTAAACAGTCTTTGCAGGTACAGCAACTTCTTTCAAATGTGTGTGTGGGTTTTTTTTTGTTTTGGGGGTTTTTGAATTTTTCTTTAAAGGTTTAACTCTAATATAATGAATGACAAACATCCCTTGAGTCCCTTTATTATATCAATGGAAAGTGCTACCATTTTCTAAATAATTATGATGTTTGAATTTTTCTTTGTACTTTAAAGCAGATTCTCAGTGGGCTAATTTAAATCTATAGCCAGTGAAATTGGATTATTATATCAGGCCCATCTATTTAGAAGAAGCTTTTGCACCTTAAAACTGCCAGTATGAGGTGAACAGCAACACACCAATATAAAAGAAGTACGATTAAGTTGTGATTATATGGCATTTTAAAATAAGCTTAATTTTCTCATTCAGAGAGCCTGTTTCATTTGTTATTTTAAAAAAAGAAAAAACCTCCTATTTTTACTTTGCTGGAATTACTGGATAAAAACTATTTTTATAAATTGATTACTAATTGGGATTATGATTATATTGGACATAATTTCTAGAGAACAATACATATTTAGTATTTCAAAATGGAAGTTTGTAAAATGACCAAATTTAATGAACATGCTGAAAGTTAGTATTCCATGGTTCTCAGAATATATCTCAGAGCTATCCCAGAATAATAATTTACATTTAGTAATGAGGTAAGAAACAGCAGCTATTTAATGAAATTTTTAATGTCTTCAAATACTACTTTATATGTTATGGCCAGATTCATTTCACACTTGATCTAAACTTTATATCTACAGGTATTTGCTAAATATATATTTAAGTACATTAAGTGAAAATGGTACCCAGTAATAGGTCATAAACAACTCAATGTCCATATTTTTTCTCATTTAAATATTTTTATTAGTTTTCTACCACATTAACTATGTTGTTGCTTTGGAGTTAAAAAAAAAACAGTGCTATGTAAAATACGTGACATTCTCTTCAGATAGTTCAGGACACTAGGATAGATAGCAAACAATCTCCTGCAAGTGATTTTGAAGTATTCATGAACTAGTGATACAAATTAATTTCATTGTAATTATGGTTTGATTACATATTTTCCTTCCAGTCATCTTTGCTCTTCGGTGGTTGTTCTTGTGCAGTTGTTTGGTTTTGATCCTGAAAGTCAATATTTCTTCATTATATACGGTTTTAAGCATGACTTCTAGATACTGTCAACTATTTTGAAGTCTAAAAATCATTTTCCCCTCTTGATCTTGTGGTAATGTTAGATTTGGAATAATATTAGAGCTTTTGACTTCTGAGTTGACACATAACTAGTGAAAAGAAAAAAAACATGCTTATTCTTTTTTCTCCCAACAGACCAACTCATTTCAAAGTATAGAAAGACATTCTTTAAATGATTTCCAACCAAAATCAACTTAATTTGTTTACATGAGATAGTTATATGGTTTGGATGTTAGCAGTTCTTGACATGCAAATGCAGCCAGTTGGTCATTGAACTAAGATTGTAATTAAGTATTTTTTTATGAAGATTTGTTTTTCTGGCAGCATTTCCCCCCACTGGATACTAAACTGTAAATTAGTCTTCATTAAATTACTGCATATTTTTAGCCTTCCAAAGATAATTGTTTATTTTATTTCATTTTTTTGCTTTTTGGTGAGGCAATGGGGGTTAAGTGACTTCTCCATGGTCACATATCTAGTAAGTGTCAAGTGTCTGAGGCTGGATTTGAATTCAGGTCCTCCTGACTCCAAGGCCAGAGCTCTATCCACTGTACCACCTAGCTGTCCACTGAGAATTGTTTATTTTAAAGACTATTTCAAAAACTAACTTAAAAAATTACTTAGCTACTCAATTTAGCAAGGGAACAAATACATTTTTTAAAAGCAGGGATTATTTCCTTGTAAATTTTATTAAGATAATTAAACACACATATGACTGAAAACTCATTTTTCATGTCAACTTGACTTAAACTCTAACTTGCCTGGGTGATTTTTTTTAACCAGAAACTACAGAAACTGTTTCTTCCCTTTTAAAGTTATTCCTAGCATTCTTCACCAGTTTTGGGTTCAGATGAACAATTTTGAATGTTTGCTTTTTTCGGTTATTCTAGGAATTTGGAAATCATGTTAAATTTAATAGATGCATTAGGTTTGTAAGTTCAGAGTGCTTTGTGCTTCCTTGGAGTGCCAAACTACAGTAGTTTGGAGAATATGAAGTTATTTTCATTTTGCAAATTGAGAATCGGAGTTCCATAAACTTTAGTGGTTTGAATAGTGATTCAGGCTAAGTGAATTATATGGTTGTTTTTTTCTTTGCATTTTTTTAAAATGCTTGAAATTGTTTCCCTTCAAACCAAAATCCTTAATTACCACCTTAAAAGAATAGGCAAAAGATAAATTTAGGTTTTGTGGGGACATGCCATAAGAAACTTTTGATCATATCTCCTAATATGCTTTAAACAGACTTGTTTTATATGATAAGCCATTTTTGTTTTTCCCTCAGTAATTCATCAATCAGTATCTCAAAAACATAACCATTCCATGTCTCTAAGAGAATCTATGAGAAGTACTTTTTGAATGAACAAAATGAATCCCGAACTCTGTTCTTACTGAATTCTTTACCTTAGGAGGATCCTTCCAAATGTGTTTTAAAGTCTGACTTCTTGAATTCTGTTGCTGACGTCGTTGTTACCGTCGTCCCCTTGTAGATCCAATACGTTAGGTTGGCTTTGCCGAACCCAAATACAACTCTTCACTGCTGGACTTGCTAAACTGCTTCAGTGTTTTGGGGATTTTTCCCCAGGTGGTGAAATATATTCCTCTTTTTCTCCAGTATGTGAAATAAACTGGGAAAGAGCACAAGTATGCTGTTTAGACAGACTACCAAACAAATATTTGTTAGTAACCTGTTGTGTGAAAGCATACAGCATTCTTTCTTATGAATTAGTTCCTTGTAATCTGTTAAATGATCTCTGTTTCTAATCTGTGTGAGAAAGTAGTAGGGCACTTTTTCTTTTTACACAAATTTAAGCCTACCATCCAATCTTTTGTCCATATAGAGGGCTGTCTCTGGCAGATGGTGACAAAAATATCCCAGCAATCTTTCTTTGTTTTAAATATATTTGGTCTATGAAACTGACAATCTTTAAAATGTGAATACTGTAACAATAAGTTTTTCTTGGATTGTTGTCTTTAAAAAGGATTTTTGTGAAGCAACTGATTTATCAAAGAAAATAATTAAAAATAGAAACATGCTCTGTGGATGATGTATTATTACATGAAAATGGAACTCAACTCTCTGGAGAAACACATTTCCTAATTTAAGTAAAGCATTCAGATTGTTTTAGAACTCAGTCCCTTGACATTTAGGAATTTAGCATGATCCCTGCACATAACAAAAATTAATGTATCACTGGGATTGTTGGGCTCAGATTACACAACTGCAGAATCTCAGAGCTGGAAAGGAACTCAGATCCCGTCAAATCTAAACTGCACTTGAACAAGAATCCTGTCTACAAAATACCCAACAAGTAGTCATCCAGTTTTTGTTTCAAGACTTCCACCAAGGGGAAACCCACTGCCTCTAAGGTGCACTTTTGCATAATCCTCATTGCTAGAAACGTTTTCTTTACATCAAGATATAATTTGTATCTGTAACTTTCACCCATTGCTCCTGGTTCTGCCCTCTGGGACCAAGCAGAACAAGTCTAGTCTCTCATTCTTGCTTGGGAGATGGTCCTTCATCTACTAGAAGGCTGTCTTGTCTCCCCTAAGTCTTCCCTGCTCCAAGTTAAAAATCTCCCCGTCTTCCACAGCTTCTCACACGGCATGATCTCAGGACCCTTTGCTATCCTAGTTGTCTTCCTTTAGACACTCTGCAGCTTATTGAAGTCCTTCCCAAAATGTAATGCCCGGAATTGAAGACTGCAAATTATAGTGATACCGTCTCCAACTCTCATATTTCAGAGGTCAGTAGGGGAAAGGGGAAATATTTCAGGAGGGGAAAGGGGTAAAAACTTGAGAATAGGGACCAGGGTCAGGTCTAGACTGGCAATTTCATTGGTATGGGAAACTCTCTAGTAAGGAAACTCTCCCTGCCAATGCGGGTTGACATCTTCTTTGCAACTTAAAGTCTTCGAAAGTTGACTAGAACACTCAGAGGGAAAGTGTCTTGTCCCAGATCACATAGGTGACATGTGTCAGAGGCAGGATTTAAACCCAGATCTTCTGTTTTCAAGGCCAGCTCTCTTCATATGGTGCTGTGCTTCTCAGGTTAAGATAACAGTAGCAAAAAATTCTGTAAAGACTTTTGATTGAACTTAGAGTTGATTGAACATTTAAGGGTCTTGCTACTACTTTGTGTTAAGCAAATAGCATCAAGGAAAATCTAAGAAAACTCATTCATTATGTGGGAGCCCTTTAAAAAAATCTAGACCTCTAAACAAAATAACTTGGTTTTCTCAATCCTAAGTATCACGCCTTTAATTCTTGCCATGCCCTTAATGTTATTAAAAATAACTTTTATTCTCAGTTTTTAAAATGTCTACCCAGGGGCAACTAGGTGGCACAGTGGATAGAGCACTGGACCTGGAGTCAGGAGGACCTGAGTTCAAATCCAGCCTCAAACACATAACACTCACTAGCTGTGTGACTCTGGGCAAGTCATTTAACCCCAGTTGCCTCACCAAAAAAAAAAAAGTCTTCCTAGAATAAAGCTAAAGAAGATATTATGTGAATATTATTTTCTTGTCAAGGACTATCTATAAAATTTGAAGGAAATATAGATTTTCATTTATAATGGGCTATAATAAACCACTTGAAAAGTGTGCACCAAATTGAACAGTTAAAAATATATCAACAGGTTAGAACATTGTGTTGAATCTAATAAGATTGAATGTAATGGAGATAAATGTAAAGAGATGAAATTGATTATTTGAGCACAAGTACAGGCTTATAGGAGGTTTCTCTTTTAATATTATGTATGTTCTGTTGTATTTTTACTTTTTTTGCTAAATATCTCCCAAATACATGTTTTAACATTCATTTTTTATTTTGAGTTCCAAATTCTCTCCTTCCCTCCAGCCTCTCTCCCACCCATTGCAAAGTCAAGTAATATGACATATGTGAAGTCATGCAAGACATATTTCCATATTAGTTATGTTGCAAAAAAAAAAGGCAAGAAAAATTAAAAAGTGAAAAAAAAGTTTCAACCCATACTCAGATTTCATCAGTTCTCTCTCTCTCTCTCTCTCTCTCTCTCTCTCTCTCTCTCTCTCTCTCTCTCTCTCTCTCAGGATAGCATTTTTCTTCATGAGTCCTTTGGAATTACCATGAATTATTATTTTGATCAGAGTAGCTAAGATGGTTATCATTACAACATTATTATTACTGTGTACAGCGTACTCCTGGTTCTGCTTACTTCACTTTGTATTGGTTCATATATGTCTTCCCAGATTTATCTGAAACCATACGGGGAGATGATAGTTCTGAACAGCAGCTAGGTTTTAAAGGATTACAATCCCAAAATGAGAGAGAAGAAAATAATGCAAATATTAAAGTAACAGATCTCTACTTTTTTCTCTCCTTTATTTGAAGGGAGTACCAAGAAGGAAAACAATGCTTTCTGAAGAGAAAAATAGAATAAGAGAAAAACTTTGGGATAACCAGAAGTATGTATTTCTATGGTCCCACAATAAATTGACATTCTGTAGCCAAGGATGATAGCTAGACTTTTGTGTAATACTAACTATTTGCAAAGTACTTTTTTGTTCATTAGTTTATTTGAAGTAGGAGTTACAGAATTTCAAATGGCACCTTAGTGTCCATCCAGGACAACCCACATCTGAAAAAGAATTCCTCCACAACTCAACTAGCAAATGGTTCCCTAGCTTTTGCTTGAAGACTCTAGGAGAACAAATTATCTCAGAAGGCAGCCATCTCTGCTCTTGGATCATTTTCATTTTTAGGAAAATTTTTTTACATCATCTCTAAATTTGCCTTTTTGCCATTTTGACCCATTGCTCCTGGTTCTGTCCTCAGTTCCATCTTGTCCATGGCAAGCCCTCAAATAGCTGAATATAGCAGTTCCCTCCCACCCCCTTAAGTCTTTTCTTCTCTTGGATAAACATTATCATAGCCTCCAACACTGATCCTAACGTGGCATGAACTGGCTTTTCACCATTTGGATTGTCCTCC